GAGATTTCCTGGAAGTTTTAGGATATCTTCCCTTTAATTTTTCCTAGACACTCTGATTTTACTTATGTCTCTCACCTTTGCTTTCCCTCCATCCCCCACCGCAACAGTAACTTGCTCTAGGCTCACTTTGCTCTAGTGTCTAGGAGAGCCGTCTGCCGAGGGGACAGTGCCTTTGGGCAGAGGAAAAGCCTCAGGTGGGAAAGAGGACAAGAACACTGCTGCCAGGGAGCAGAGCGGAATGCAGGGAAGGCAGCAGCTGGTCCTGATGGGCCTCACAGACGTTAACTTAAATGCACTTTACCTTTTAGGCAGGGAGGAAACAGCACATCTCAGCCCCACCCCAAATTTCCTAAAAGTCCACTCTTCATTTTGATTCTATGGCACCCTGTGTGTGTGTGTGTGTGTGTGTGTGTGTGAGAGAGAGAGAGAGAGAGAGAGAGTGTGTGTGTGTGTGTGTATGGTGCTGAAGGGCCATAGAGCCCATTTTTATGAAAAGAGTCTGAGACTTTCCTGGCCCCCATTCCATAATCCTTCCCTGATACTGTGCACACCACCGAGGCCACTAGAAAACCCAAATACAGCCCAGTCAGCATGGCTCAGGTGGTTGAGCATCAACCTATGAACCAGGAGATCACAGTTCAATTCCTGGTCAGGGCACATGACCAGGTTGTGGGCTCGATCCCCAGTAGGGGACATACAAAAGGCAACCTATCAATGATTTTCTCTCATCATTCATGTTTCTATCTCTCTCTCCCTTTCCTTTCCTCTCCGAAATCAATAAAAATAAATTTTTTTAAAAAGAAAGAAAACGCAAATACACGTTTCGTGAGCAGCACCACTCAGGCTCACAAACACAGTGCTTACAGTTTAGGAACAAGGGCGAATCTCATCCTGCTCAGCAGTTCATCCTCTTGGAGCATGACCAGGGCAACAGGGTACATCTGATCAAAGTCAAAATGAAACTGCACGCCAATTGGAGGGTCACGAAGGAAGTTCCTCTTGTCCTTTGATGAAAAGGGGAAAAACCACAGAACACAAATAATACGTACCAATGCATCACTGATTTGATGAATACTGAATTCTCCTAAAGACTTCACTGCAGAGTCCACTGAGCTATTGTTAACCTGTCCACTTCAGAGAGAGCAGAGAAAGACCGATCCTTTCATATATTTTTAAGTCTCAACTGGAGAGCCTTGAGGAAATTCAATTATGTAATTAGTTAAAATTACATAGTTTGAAATCATATGAACACGTTTGTTTTAGTGGGCACTGTTAGGTATGTGAAAAATAGTGTAGATAATCTTAGAAACATTCTAACCCCAAATTGAAGTCAGCTAACCATGGTGGTCATATCAGAAAAGCAAGTCTGGCCGTAGCCGGTTTGGCTCAGTGGATAGAGCGTCGGCCTGCGGACTGAGAGGTCCTGGGTTCGATTCCGGTCAAGGGCATGTGCCTTGGTTGCAGGCACATCCCCAGTGGGGGATGTGCAGGAGGCAGCTGGTCGATGTTTCTCTCTCATCGATGTTTCTGACTCTCTCTCTCTCTCCCTTCCTCTCTGTAAAAAATCAATAAAATATATTTAAAAAAAGAAAAGCAAGTCTGGCTGGCGTGGCTCAGTAGTTGACCTATGAACCAGGAGGTCACGGTTTGATTCCCAGTCAGGGCATATACTCAGGTTGTAGTCTCTATCCCCTGGGGTGTGCAGGAGGCAGCCAATCAATGATTCTCTCTAATCATTGATGTTTCTATTTCTCTCTCCCTCTCCCTTCCTGTCTAAAAATAAAAATAAAAATATTAAAAAGAAAAGCAAAACCCACCGTGCAATTCATTTCTCAAGTGTGTATAGACCATGCATTCGTTTCACACCTCTCTATAGAAGGCCAAGGCCCAGGCTCTGCCTGACAAATGTCTGCAAAGCTCCACAGGTCAGTCAGGGCCCAGGAATGTGATGGTGACAGAGAGACATAGTGCAGCTTCTTCACAGAGCATGGCCAGGCTGGAAAAAGGCCTGTTATTGTTGCTTCAGTCAACAAGTCTTCGCTCGGCCATAGTGTTAGGGCCTGGGCCCATAGCCGACATTCTGGCTTCTTTGTCACAACACTATGAAGTGAGTACTTCCATCCTCACTTTACAGATGAGGAAAATGGATCAGGGAAGCAAAATGGCTTGTCTAAGGTCGGGTATGTGCTATAGCGAGTGGCAGGGTCAGGACTCCGGGCCTCCCCTTCCGGGGTCGAGTATTCCTCCCAATCCAGTACAACCCCAATGGGCTGCTATGCATCTCGCAAGCTCTGTCCACTTTAATCTAGGACTTTACTCTACATGATGAACACTGTCACAGGTGTGACAACTCTACAGGGACAGCAAGATATAGAGATCCTGCCTTGGCCCCGGCTGCCTCCGTCCTTGCAGCCCTGGCTGCTGCCACCCTCTGTGGGATGATAGATTGGGGGGGGGGGTGGAGGGGCTCCAGGATCGATGCCCTGAAGCGGGTGGCAGCAGCCGGGGCTGCGAGGGCCGAGCCCCTTGCACGAATTTCATGCATCGGGCCTCCAGTAGTGAATAACAGGTTCCCCTCAACTCTCCCTTGCCCTGCCAGATATCAATCTCCTTTTAAAAATATCTGACAAATAACAACTTTAAGTGAATTCTTCTTCATGCTGCTGCACTCAGGTTTAGATGCCTTAAACTGAAGGTTAGAGAATCCACAATCCATTAAGAGGTACAGCCAACACACTGACAAAATAAAATGTCATACAAACATTTTGTAATGAGTGTATTAAAATTGGAGTCTCATTAAAAAGAAATTTAACCCAAGACTGTATTAAAGAAAGCACCTCCTTCACAGAAGATCCTCATATGGCCTGTGACCCACAGTCAGCACATAACATGGAACTCCAACAGGACACTACTGTGACTCTCCAATGCACCCGGGCCACTACATCCAACCTGGAAGAGCTGTGACATTCATGTCTCTCTTTAGTTAGCCACTGCTCATTAGCCAAGAAGGAAACAAAAGGAAAAATACAAAGGCAAAGCTTCCCTGGATAGGGCACATTTCCTAGGGAATGAGGGTGGCTTGGAATTCCTCTGACATGGCCCATGACCCTGCTGATTAGTGTATAAAGTGATGTCTCCAAATCTCCCCCTTTCCTATAGACTGAGCATTAATAACTAAGGCAAAAAACTGCTGCTGAAGCCCAGTCAGCATGGCTCAGTGGTTGAACATTGACCTATAAACCAGGATATCCCGGTTCGATTCCCAGTCAGGGCACATGTCCAGGTTGCAGATTGATCCCCAGTGGGAGACGTACAGGAGGCAACTGATCAATGATTCTCTCTCATCATTGATGTTTCTATCTCTCCCTTTCCCTTCCTCTCTGAAATCAATAAAGATATATTAAAATAATAATAATCCTAATATATAAAAACTCTGGGTCCGTCACAACCGAGGCTCGACTAACCAGAAGTCAGTCCTGCAGTCTGTGCTGGGTTGCCATGGTGACCCAGCACTGACTGCTGCAACTGCAGGCGTGGTGACCCAGCACTGACTGCTGAGAGGGCTGTGAATCAGGCCCGGAGAGAGGCCTGAAGAGAGAAGCAGGGTCTGATCCGTAGCCTCTGTGGCAGCTGTTGATCAGCACTTGCCTCTCTCTTTCTCTCCAGCAGCCACGCTTCCATTTCTCTTCAGGCATCCACCTAGGCTGCTGATCAGCCCTGCCTTTCTGATCAGGCCCCGTTGATAGTCCCAGAGACGCTGACTGGCATAGAAACCAACCAATCAGAACCAAATCTGGGTGAAATGTGAGGAGCCAATGTCTGCCTAGGAGGCGGAGCTTTTGACGCTGACTGGCATAGAAACTGACCAATCAGAACCAAATTGGCCAGCAGAGGAGGGTGTTTGGGGGTGATCAGGCTGTCAGGCAGAAGCAGTTAGGGGCAATCAGGCAGGTGAATGGTTAGGAGCAAGCAGTCCCGATTGTGAGAGGAATGTCGACTGCCGGTTTAGGCCTGAGGTGTCCCAGATTGGAGAGGGTGCAGGCTGGGCGAGGGACACCACCCCCCCCCCCCCAGTTCACGCATTTCGTGCACCGGGCTTCTAGTCCTATATAATAAAAGGCTAATATGCGAATCGACCAAAGGGCGGAATGACCGGTTGCTATGATATGTACTGACCACTAGGGGGCAGACACTCAATGCAGGAGCTACCCCCTTGGTGGTCAGTGCACTCCCACAGGGGGAGTGCTGCTCAGCCAGAAGCCAGGCTCATGGCTGGCAAGCTCAGCAGTGATGGCGGGAGCCTCTCCCGCCTCCGCAGCAATGTCCAACTGCAGGTGGGGAGCGGGCCTAAGCCGTCAGTCAGACATCCCGAGGGCTCCCAGACTGTGAGAGGGTGCAGGCCAGGCTGAGGGACCCAACCCCCCAAGTTCATGAATTTAGTGCACTGGGCCTCTAGTAATAATAAAACAAAAGCTGGTATTGGGAACTACTCAAACCATTAAGATGGACTGTTTCTACTCTATTTCTTAAGAAATACCTCTTTTGTTTGTAAATATGATACATACCTGTTTTTAAAAAATTCAAAACATGAAAGAAAAGCATAGAGTCAAAACTCCCACCATCCATGGACAACCCATGAACACCCTCTTGGCCATGTCTCTCTGCATACATACAGTATCTGTGCAATTATAATTTGACCGAAATAGAAAGACATGCTGCATGCTGTGGATCACTTGTTTTCCCTTTACCCTCTGCGTCACGAACATCTTCCATCTCCAAAACAGCTATGTCTACATGGAATGAGCCATAATTTACTCAACCAGGCCCATTTTGGTAGTCAACACATTGTTTCTAATCTTTTCTGATAAAGATTCTCATCTAAAGTGATCTCTTCACACTAAATTCCTAGAAGTGGGATTTCTGGTCCAAGAGTAGGATTATTTTGATACATATTGCCCAAACTTTCCTCTAGAAAGATCTAAACAGTTTATGTTACTACTAAATGCACCAGTTTCATCTCATCTTGCTCATGCTGGATTTTTAAAATATTTTTGGTTTTTGAGAATTCCTCATTAATAAAGCAAGAACCTGAGCCTAAATGGATTTTAGTTATTTTACCTTCCAATGTAAACATTTCTAAGCCTGAAACTGCCCCCAATGTTTCACCAAGATTTCTATAGCAGCCTCTTAATGGGCCTGGTTGTCCACTGGAAAGAAACCGTGGCTAGAGTGCTGGCAATCAACGCAGTGGGGCGTGAGGGAGGAGAGGCTTACGTGTAAAGCTCAGGGCCTTGGAAGCTGCAGAGGGAGTTTAGATCTTAATCTATGAGAGGTGAGATGCCATTAGAAGGGTCTATGTAGGGAAGTGACACCAAGTGATTCATGCAATAAGTGGACCCCTCTGGCTGCTGAAGGAAGCTTGTACTGGAAAGGTGCAAGGAGGGGACAATAGTTGGGATGCCTTGGGTAGGAGATGATGGCACCAGGACCACAGTGGTGACAGCAGAGAAGTGAACTAGAGCTATATTCTGAACAAAGCACTGAAAGGACTAGGGGCAGGGGGCAGTGGGGAGGGGAGGTATGCCTCAAAGAAGACCCCTAGGTTTGTGAATAACTGGAGTCCTATTCTGAGATGGAGAAGATAAGGAGAGGAACAGGTTTGGGGGGGAGGGTCAAAGGAGCTGGGAGAGTTGACTGGTGAGTATATGATTTTTGCTCTCAAATGATAATGACTCACTGTTCCCATTCCTTTCAGGGATAAGCAGGTGTGTAACGTCAGTGTCAAATTTGGCTGTAACATGGTAAGCAATACATGGTGTTCCCACTGAACTCATAATGGATGCTCAGGTTTTTAAAAGGTTTACTAATGGAAACAAAAACCTTAAAATGGCCTAGGGGAGGGCAATGGAAGAGAGGCAAAGCCCAGTTTATTTGTTGTCTAGACTGAGGTTCTATTTATGACTGGTTAAAAAGAAAAGTGAGGTAAAAACAAAACTTGAGCCCTGCTGGTTACAGCTCAGTGGCTGAGCGTCAACCCATGAACCAGGAGGTCCCGGTTCAATTCCTGGTCAGGGCACATGCCCAGGTTGCGGATCAATAATTCTCTCTCATCATTGATGTTTCTTTCTTTCTTTTTTAAAATATATTTTTATTGATTTCAAAGAGGAAGGGAGAGGGAGAGAGAGATAGAAACATCAATGATGAGAGAGAATCATTGATTGGCACACCCCACACTGGGGATCGAGCCCACAACTCGAGCATTTGCCCTTGACCAGAATCGAACCCGGGACCCTTCAGTCCACAGGCCGACACTCTATCCACTAATTCAAACCAGCTAGGGCTGAAAGTGATTTCTGAAACTATCAGGTCTACACAACTGTTAACTAGTAATGCTATGTTCACTCTGAAATCCCAATTTTGTGGGCTAGCATATGGAATTTTATTTCTTTCAATTTCAGTTTCAAATACATATAGTAGTTAAAAAGAAACTTAGAATATAATCTCTTCATTCAGAAGAATGAGAATGCTGTCTAGAAACTTTGTATGATAGCATATATCAAAAGATTATCCATCTTAATAACAAGAATTCTTTTAAGGCTGAAAAAAAATTTCTTTGCAATAGACTATTCTATTCCATTAAGAAAAAATAACTCATGGAGAAACAAATGAAAAGTTAGTGAAAAAAGCCCGGGCTGGGTAGCTCAGTTGATTAGAGCATCATCCCGAAACAACAAGGCTGCAGGTTCGATCCCTGGTCAGGGCACACATATAAAAATCAACCAAAGAATGCATAAATAAGTGAGACAACAAATCTCTCTTTCTCTTTCTTTCTACCCCCTTTTTCTTTCTCTCTAAAATCAATAAATAAAAATTATAAGAAAAGTTAGTGAAAAAAGTAGTGAAAATTGATATGTACATTCCTAACAACTTAAAAGATTTTAAAAATTGTATAGAAGAAAAACATCTGCTAAAGATAAAATTGTGATATGAAGAAAGTACTTCTACACAGAATATCACAAGATACTTACAGCTGATAAGGCCAAAATCTGTTGTTGAATTGTTTCTTCATCATTACTATCAACCCATGGGGGCACTGCTGCTTCTGAAAGGTTTTTAACAGCCAAAAAGAAAAGGAAAAAAACAAACAAACAGGTTACAAGGGTTACTCTGCAATCGTGGTTTGAAAAAATGAGCAAGTTTCCATACAACCATTTTAGCAAATTACTAATGAGTTCCAAATATGACCATTCATCATTATTTCCAGACTTCTTTTTTTGTTTGTTAATCCTCACCTGAGGATATTTTCCCATTGATCTTTAGAGAGTGGAAGGGAGTGGGAGAGACAGAAAGAAACATTGATGTGAGAGAAAAACATCGACTGGTTGCCTCCTGCATGCACCCCGACGAGGGCTGGGGAAGCTGCAACTGAGATATATGCCGTTGATCAGAATCGAACCCGGAACCCTCCCAGTCCGAGGGCCGATGCTCTATCTACTGAGCCAAACCGGCTAGGGCATAATTCCCAGACTTAATGCATAAATCTTATGCATGTATGTATTTGGTAAAAAAAAAAAATTACTTGAATTATACAATGAAGAAATTGGGCAACACCTTGACCAGGTGACCAAAATCAACATCACCATCGACAGGGACATGGCCATTGTGGGTCTCCAAATGTGATACCTTAAGAAAGACACATTATCTATGCAGTATTCTGGCCAAAAACGCATAATCTGCATCTAATTATAATCTAGTCACAAGGAAATATCATACAAAACTCAAATGAGAAATGGTCTATTTAATAATAAGAAAGGAGGGGTATTCTTCAAAACCACTAATGTCATAAAAGAGAAAGAAAGGCTGTGGAAATGTTCCAGATTAAGGGAGACTAAGAGATGTGACAAAAAATGCAATCCCTGGACTGGATGCTATGTTGAGGGGGAAAATGTATAAAGGATTTTACTGGGTCAATGACAAAATTTGAATGTGAGTATTATATCAATGTTAAATTTCCTAAAGCTGGAAAACTAACAATCTGGGTAGAAGGTATACGGGTATTTTCTGTATTAGTTTTATTGTTGCAACTTTTCTGTATATTGAGATTATTTCCAAATATCTGGCATGTAATAAGTGCTCAATAAAATTTGGCAGGTAAGTAAGTCGCGTACAACAAACCTATACTATACCTGATTTTTTGGTATGCTGCTCCTCAACAAATTTTTTCTGTTCCTTCTGAAAATCTCCTATAATGGTCTGTTAAAAAATACATAAAGAGTCAAATTACCTTGAAAATTTTATTATTAGGAAAGAACTACATTCAAGATTTGTGAAGTCTATTTGAGATATTTTATTTATTTTCTTCAAATGAAAATGCTAAAAAAGTGATAGTTCACCCTATCTATAAGAAGGAATTGTCAACATTTTTGAATTTCAAGTATACTACCTCACTTTATGATAAATTATCTTTTCAAATGCAAAAATGAGTTAAAAACTGAACTTTTGTATTATTCAAAAAAATAAGATAGGTCAAATCATTCTAACAAATAGTACATACAACAGAAGTATCTAAATAACAAGCTATCTAGAGTTTAACTGATGACCTCCTCAGTTCAAATAATTACCAACATAAATAAAATTCACCACTGTAAAAAATGAACAAACTCAACCCATTAGAGTCTTAAAAGGATTGTCACTAATGGGTTAAGACTCTAAAAAATTAACCAAATGATGAAAAGCATAAATATATTCTGAAGTGTTATAGTTGAAAATTAAACTCATAATATGAAAATTTAGTATTACTCAAAAGTATCAACATACCTTAGACAACATAAAAACCAAGGTTACTTAAATCACATCATTTATATCATAGCTACTTGTTACATAAAAATAGAAAAAATCCAAGAATCTCAACTATTAATATTTTTATCAGAATATGATATCCTAGCCTGGCCAGTGTGGCTCAGTGGTTGAATATTGACCCATGCACCAAGAGGTCGCTAGTTTGATCCCCAGTCAGGGCACAGGCCCAAGTTGTAGGCTCGATCCCCAATAGGGGGCATACAGGAGGCAGCTGGCAGTATTTCTCTCATCGATGTTCTATCTCTAAAATCAATAAAAACATATTTTTTAAAAAGAATATGATATCCTACTTGGGTTAATAAAATTCATAAGAAAAAGGGACAATATTAGTTAATGCATTTCATAAATTTCTTCTATCAAAGATATTTAAATGTACCTTATCGAGGATGTCATCTATTTTTCCTTCTTCTACTGATTTCTTTATCGATTGTGCTGTTTCAGCAACTGATTCAGTTATCTTTTTTGTAGCAGCAGTCGCAAAGTTAAATAGATAATCTATAAAGAATAAAAAAAGTCTATGTTCCATTCCAGTACAATGGTTATTGTATTTATAATTTCTCCCTTAAAGAGTTCTTGTAAGAATCTTAAGCCATAGGGCATGTTCCTTGTTAATTAGGACTGGACACAAAAAATGAGAAGCACTGCCAGTACTCCACTTTCTTGGTGGACTGGCCATCCATCCTGGACCTTTAATTCATCTCTTTCAAAGACCCTTAGCAAAATCCCCAGTTCTCCCCCAGCAACTGTTTCAAATTGTCTTGTTACCCAGCTGGTGTGGCTCAGCAGTTGAGCGTCGACCTATGAACCAGGAGCTAATGGTTCGATTCCTGTCAGGGCACATGCCCAGGTTGCAGGCTTGATCCTCAGTAGGGGGTGTGCAGGAGGCAGCTGATCAATGATTCTCTTTCATCATTGATGTTTCTACCTCTCTCCCTCTTCCTTCCTCGCTGAAATCAATAAAAATATATATTTTTAAAAACTGGTATTTTAGCATAATAATCTTAATTCTCAGATTTTAATGGCTCCATGGGTGAAGTACACTATACATACTGAACACAGAGAAAACAGTTATTGCCCTCAAGGAATGTCCATTTCTAAACAAACAAAAAACTTATAGACAACCACAGGAGCACAATTACTAGTATTCATTAAACAGAGGCACTCAGAGAAGGGAGGAAGAAGGTCTCCCAGGGGTAATTAGAGAGTGGACTGGATTCTGAAGTCAGAGAAAGAGGGAAGTGGGAGAGCATGACAAGAGATTTTCAGGTAAGAAGCTCATAAAGACAAGAAGTGGTTTATTAATTTTGCAAAGAGATAATCTGACACCACGTTAAAGACAGTTTTTATTAACTAGTTAGAAAAAAACTGAGACTAAAGTTAGGAGTTAACAGGAAGTGCCAGCCGGCATGGCTCAGTGGTTGAGCATCAACCTATGAACCACTTGGTTCCCGGTCAGCGCACATGCCCGGGTTGCAGGCTCGATCCCCACTGTGAAGGGTGCAGGAGGCAGCAGATCAGTGATTCTCTCTCATCATCATCACTGATGTTTCTATCTCTCTCTCCATCCTCTCTGAAATCAATAAAAATATATTTAAAAAAAAGTTACGCCCTAGCTGGTTTGGCTCAGTGGATAGAGCATCCGCCTGTGGACTGAAGGGTCCCGGGTTCAATTCCGGTCAAAGGCACATGCCTAGGTTGCAGGCTTGATCCCCAGTGGGGGGGCGTGCAGGAGGCAACCAATCAATGATTCTCTCTCATCATTGATGTTTCTATCTCTCTCTCCCTCTCCCTTCTTCTCTAAAATCAATAAAAATATATTTAAAAAAAAATTTAACAGGAAGTAACAGGAGTACAATGTCCACTTGGGGAACTTAGGCACAAGAGAAGGTCTGAGCCAAGGAAGAAAAGGAAGTAAAACATCTGTGAGTGAGCACACCTCCAAAACCTTATGGAAGGAGTGGGCAGATCAGGATCATTGAATGTAGTCATTTTATCTTCATTTTCATTGTCATTTTCAGTCTCACAAACATCCTGGGAAGAGTAGATATAATCTGTCCAGTTTACAGATAGGGAAGCCAAGGCTCACAAAGGATAAATGATTTGTCCATTATGACAGAGGCAGATCTACCCCACTGACTGCCTAGCCAATAGCCTATCTCCTTCCACCTTGACAAAGAAACCCCAATTTGATGGGTGCTCTTCAAGCCTGGGGCTGGTTTTGGGGACCCTGGACACAAGCAATCAAGGTCTTCTCATTAAGCCTCTGTTGTGGGACTTTCTATAATTTGGAGCTGGATTTTCTGCAATTTGCAAATGATCCTATATAATAAAAGCCTAATATGCAAATCGACCGAACAGCAGAACAACTGTCGCTATGAGGTGCACTGACCACCAGGCGGCTGATGCTCAATGCAGGAGCTGTCGCCTGGTGGTCAGTGCGCTCCCTCAGGGGAAGTGCCACTCAGCCAGAAGCTGGGCTCACGGCTGGCGAGCGCAGCGGTGGTGGCTCTCACCACTGCTGCAGGCGGGCAGTAAGGAGCGAAGAGTCCCAGACTGCGAGAGCCCCGGACTGCAAAAGGGATGTCTGACTGCCCACAGGCGGACATCCTTAGCGCTGTCGTGGAGGTGGGAGAGGCTCCCGCCACCACCGCTGCACTCACCAGCCATGAGCCCTGCTCAGGGCTTTTGGCTGAGCAGCGCTCCCCCTGTGGGAGCGCACTGACCACCAGGGGGCAGCTCCTGCATTGAGCGTCTGCCCCCTAGTGGTCAGTGCACATCATAGTGACATGTGGTTTCGCTGTTCGGTCAATATGCATACTAGCCTTTTATTATATAGGATAGGATGGGATCCAAGCTCTTGACCATTTGCACTGCCCTCCTTGTGGTAAATCTTTGTTTGTCATTAGAACTGAATTAGGGATTTTACTTCTTAGGAAAGTAGACATGTATTTTCCTATGTACACACTAACTTTTGGAGTCCTCTTAGCTGCACTTTCCATATAGGAAAAAAGGAGGGTGGCCTAATTAACACAGTTCTACTGCAAATACTACTTTTAAATGAGAAGGAACAGGAGCTGGCCTTTCCTCCATGGGCATTGACTGGCCTTAGGGAAGGTTTTGAAAAAGCCAATGCTCATCTTTGGCCACCTCCCAGTTATTTAAACTGTGTGAATAACTCAGATATTTAATACTCTCAGAGGTACCATTTTTCTTTTTTCTTGTTAATCCTCACCTGAGGATAATTTTTTCCATTGATTATTTTTTTTAGAGAGTGGGAGGGAAAGAGACACAGAGAGAGAAACATCAATGTGAGAGAGATACATAGATTGGTTGCCTCCCACACATGTCCCAACCCAGGGCCTGGGATCGAGCCTGCAACCAAGGTACTTGCCCTTGACCAGAATCAAACCCAAGACCGTTCAGTCTGTGGGCCAACGCTCTAAGCACACCGGCTAGGTCAGGGGTCCTCAAACTACGGCCCACGGGCCACATGCAAATACAAATATTGTATTTGTTCCCGTTTTGTTTTTTTACTTCAAAATAAGATATGTGCAGTATGCATAGGAATTTGTTCATAGTTTTTTTTTAAACTATAGTCCAGCCCTCCAATGGCCTGAGGGACAGTGAACTGGCCCCCTGTTTAAAAAGTTTGAGGACCCCTGGGCTAGGTACTAATTTTCTTTTCATTTTAAAGAAAGAGTGCAGATAAAGCTCTAATTTGGTTGACTTTAACAAAACCACACAACCAATTTGTAAGTTACTTTGGGGCATGGGCCTTCAGGAAGATAGAAGTTCTTCAGTTAGTTTCCTTATAAACTGTCCTCCTCTGAAACAGGTATCATAGGAGGTCCTAAGTTTATCAGGAGGGAGGGACAAGAATGGGAAGATTTGGTTTTGGGCAAGAAAATGGAATGTAGGCCTGGGTGTCCACTACTCATAACCAGTGAGGTGTCTAAATTTATAAATAGGTCATCATGAACCAGAAGTATTTAGGGTCCAATCTTTTTTTAAAAAATATTTGTATTGATTTCAGAGAGGAATTGAGAGGGAGAGAGAGATGGAAACATCAATGATGAGAGAGAATCATCAATTGGCTGCCTCCTGCACGCCCCCCCACCAGGGATCGAGCCCCAATCTGGCCATGTGCTCTGACTGGGAATCGAACCATGATGACTTCCTGGTTCGTAGGTCGACGTTTAAGCACTGAGCCATGCCAGCCAAGTGAGATATTTAATTTCAGTTTTCAAAACATAGATGGGCCCAGCTGGTGTAGCTCAATGGTTGAGCATCGACTCCTCAACCAGGAGGTCATGGTTCGATTCCTGGTCAGGGCACATGTTGGATTGCAGGCTCAAACTCCAGTAGTGGGGTGTACAAGAGGCAGTGGATCAATGAGTCTCTCTCATCAATGTTTCTCTCTCTTGCTCCCTCTCCCTTCCTCTCTGAAATCAATAAAAAACATATTTAAAAAATAACACACACAAAAAAACATAGATGGGTCTTTTTAAAGATAACATACCTTGCCCTGGCCAGTGTTTCTAAGTGGTTAGAGCGCCAGCCCAGGCACCCAAGGGTCACGGATTCGATTCCTGGTCAAGGGCATGTACCTGGGTTGCAGGTTTGATCCCCAGCCTCGGCTGGGCTGCCTGTGGGAGGCAACCTATCAATGTGTCTCTCTCACATCAATGTTTCTCTGTCAACCCCCCTCCCTTCTACTCTCTCTAAAAGAAAAAGCAAGGGAAAAAATATCCTTGGGTGAGGATTAAAAACAAAACAAAACAAAATAACAAAAAAAATAAAGATAACATACCTCTTATGATCAATACATAGAAATAACAAACATCTGATGATCTCTCTTGTCTTTCTGAAGATTTGTGCATAAACTAGAAACTCTACATCTTTTTAATAGTTACATAAATAGTAGAGCTAAAAGAACTTGTATTTATTTGGAAACTTTAAATTCACAAAGTATATGGGCATGGAAAGGGGGTGGGGGAGATACTACCATCTAACCTTAGCTTCCCCAAACATCAGGAGAGTCTGGTGAGAAAAGAGATCACAGCATTAAACTACAAAGTAGACATCCATATTGAACACACCTTTATTTAAAAAGTATTCAAAAGAAAAAAAAGTATTCAGAGGTCTTTAGTACTAAATACAAACATGAAGTTTCAATAAAGCCCTCACAAAGTTTTCAGACGTCACTTTTTAAAAATATATATTTTTATTGATTTCAGAGAGGGAGAGATAGAAATATCAATGAGAGTATCATTGATCAGCTGCCTCCTGTGTGTCCCCCACTGGGGATCCAGTGCGCAACCTGGGCATGTGCCCTTGACTGGTATCGAACCAGGCTGACGCTCTATCCACTGAGCCAAACCAGCTAGTGCCGGAAGCCACTTCTGACACTTTCTTTAAGATAAATGAAAATGGCCCAGCCAGTGTGGCTCACTGGTTAAGTGTTGACCTATGAACCAGGAGGTCACAATGATTCTCATCATTGATGTTTCTATCTCTCTCTCTTCCTTCATCTCTGAAATAAAAAAATATATATATTTTTAAAAAATGAAAATGGTTCTCTGTGTTCTAGGAAATCAGGTAAATCCCCATACCCTACTTTTCCTAACTTTTATCTATGCCAACTACCTAACATAACCTTTCTGCTCTTGTCAAATTCATCTTCTCACATCTCTCCAATACTCTAAGCTCTTCCTAATTTTCTACACAGGAAATTTATTCCCTCTTTAGTGATTTTATATACAGCACTTAGTTTTGTATCTCTTGTGCACTGTTTGGGGCCCTTGGACTGAGATTATGTACTGCCATGATTTCAGGTTAAGTCTGTTTTCCCTGCCCCTCCACTTTGAAGTAAAATTTTTGAATGTTAGAGCCTTTCTTATTCAAATATGTGTTTCTCCACTCTCAGGCTCCAGCCTCCCCTAGTGCTCTTGCCATTTAGATTCTTTTTAAATGCTTGCTAAATTTAATACCTACCTTTGCTGCAGTTCTCTCCTACTGCTGTCTGCTTTAGGGTCTTCCTTCTCAAAGACGTTTTCTTTGACTAAGCCCGCTAAAGTCTAAAATCAGAATTACTAGAGCATGTGTTTATCTTTCAAGCCTACTTTTACCCTCCTCCCCATCTAGACAGTAAACTCGAAAAGAGCACAGGCTTTGAAATTATATCTAGGTCCAAATTCCGCTGTTACATTTACTATGACTATACCTTAGGGTGAGAAATCTAGGCTTGTCTCCCAACTCACTAGGGTTTTTAACAGATGAAAGGAGATAGCTTTCATAAAACACCTAGTACTGAAACTTGAACGTCACAGACAAAAATTGGCAGCTACTTTCCTGCCTTAAGGAAAAAGGTCCCATTGCACCTAAAAAGGAGACCAGCCTGACCAAGGCGTTCAGTAACTCTTCCTCAATTAACTCCCGAAAATATATTCTGCCCTAAGGACAAAAAGTCACTTTTTCAACCTACTCAAGCTCTCCAACCGCCTCGCCTTGAGGGGGGGAGGCTGAGGAAGTGGAAGTTGACGAGCTGAACAAAGAAGATTCCTTGTCAAACCTGAAGACCTCAGGTCACACCGCCTTTCTGAGGCTCTGCCCCTCATGTTTACACTTTGTCCAGTGACTGTCACGAGCCACTTCAGGTTCGGGATTGGACTGCGGGATGAAGCCCCGGCTTTGCCCAGGTCCTCACCAAGCTCTCCCGTCCCGAGAGGACCGACCACCAGACACACCTTCCTCCCCCACCCCGACACGGGCGACTCACCGCCCAGGTCTTTGGCCTGGTGAAGGAGCTCGCTCTCAGCCGACTCCGCCACAGCCTCGGGGCGCGGCTCCGGCGGGGCTTCTCCCTCTGGCTGCCCGTCTCCTTCGACCGGGCGGCCGTCCACCACCGGCTGCTGCA